CCAGGGCCACTGGGATGAATGTACCAGCAGCTGTCCAAAGAAGAGGCCAGAAGCCGTTATATCCCCGCTGTGCTGCGCGTGCTGGCAGTGGGGGCTCTGGGTCATTTCAAATCACCTGGGGCAACAGGCAGTGCCCAGGGACACAAAGGGGGCAGCGCATGGTGTTGGCAGGTGGGGCTGGGAGACAGGTCTGGCCCCAAACTTTACTGGAGCTGGGCCCCAGGCCAGGAATGTTCCTAGCACCCAGTCACAACAAGCCCATAGGATTTTCTGACCATGGCTGCGTTTCCGCTTTCCCGAGAGAAATCAAAACATTTCAGCAAAACGAACGTCTCCCTCCGAGGTTCGGCTTTGTGGAAACTGCGCTGGCCTGAAGAAACTCTTCAGTGGGAAATCCCACGCAGCTTGAGTCCCAGCCTAATTCCTGCCCCTGCCCCCAGCTTGCAGGGAGCCGGGTCTCTGCGGGAGGGCTGGGTTGTGCTCACCCATTTGGGAGCTGGATGGAGACAAATCTCGGGAAACAATCACATTCTGAAGCAGGGGGACGATTTAACGAGCAGATGCTCCCCCAGGGAGGGGCGAATCCCTCGGCCGCTGCAGAAAGGAGATCTGGGAAATGTCCGTTTCTCTGGCAGTTTTATACAACTCTGAAATGGAACAACCACCACCTCTTATCGCACACCTGTGGAACTCACTGCCCTGGGATAGCTGCTTGGAACTCAAATTCTGGAGGAGGAGCTCAAATCAGCAACGTGCAGTGCTCAAGCCGGTTCTGCTCTGGCTCAAAGGGGCTGGCCTGGGCTGCAGACCACCAGCTCCAGGCAGCGAGGCGCAGCTGGGTCTGAGGTAGCTCCCTGTCTCTCCATCCTCCCCAGGGCGGCATCGTGGATGAAATCTCTCTCTCGGCTTACGTCACGGCAGCGCTGCTGGAGCTGGGGCAGCCGCTCACGGTGAGGCCAAGCCCTGCCTTCCTACCGGGGCTGGGGGCAGAATTGGAGCTTCTTGGGGATAGTGAGGGGAGAGTTAGTACTAGGGAGAGATTTGGGGTGTGATGGGGGAGGTGTAAGGGTTGGTACCAGGGAGGGATTTGGGATGTGACGGGGAGGTGTGAGGGTTGGTTCCAGGGAGGGATTTGGGATGTGACGGGGGAGGTGTGAGGGTACGGGGAGGTGTGAGGGTTGGTTCCAGGGAGGGATTTGGGATGTGACGGGGAGGTGTGAGGGTTGGTATCAAGGAGGGATTTGGGGTGTGATGGGGGAGGTGTGAGGGTTGTTTCCAGGGAGGGATTTGGGGTGTGATGGGGGAGGTGTGAGGGTCGGTTCCAGGGAGAGGTTTGGGGTGTGATGGGGGCAGTGGGCAGAAGGGTTGGTTCTGGGAAGCGGGTCAGGGAGAGGAGGGGCTGGGGACAGCGGTGTCAGGTCATCAGGCATATTCAGCTGTTCAGCCAGCGTCTGGGTCTGGGTGTGGGGCGGTGGGGGGATCGGGCCACGCTATGGGCAGTCGGGTGGGAGATGGTTCAGGGGCAGGTGACAGCTGGCTGGTGGAGCAGTGTTAGGCCCAGGGGGTGGTACCTGGGGGACTCCCCCAGAGCTCAGCCTGACGGGGCATCTGTTGGGTGTCTCCCCCATCCCAGGACCCCACGGTGACCAGGGCCCTCCAGTGCCTCCAGGAGTCCTCGCGCACCAGTGACCTCTACACGCGGGCGCTGCTGGCCTACGCCTTCGGGCTGGCGGGGCGCACGGAGCTGCGGGACGCCCTTCTGCAGAGCCTGGCCCAGCACAGCGTCAGCGCCGGTACCGCAGCGCCTCGCTCCAGTGCCCTCCCCCCTGGCGGCCTCCAGACACAGGGCAGGGCTGCCCCCCACGGCCCTGCCCACCCACTGCCCCCTGCCCTGGTGATGGCTCTTCCCTCGGCCCTTCAGCTAGGCCCTGCTCCCCTCCTGCCCCCTGCCCGAGGACCCCGCACTCCGGCGCCCAGTGTCCCCCTCTACCAGAGGTGATCCCGAGCACAAGCAGGCTGGGCAATTGCATCCCATGGGGTCTCCACTTTGATCTTCCCCCACCAGCCGCTCATCTAATGCATGTGGCCTGTTCCCTGGGGGTGGGGCTGGGATGGATTTTGGGTTGTGGATAGAATACAGCGAATATTTCTAATGGGCTGGGCTGCCCTTCCCTCGGCCCCTCTCCTAGGGGGACAGCTCCACTGGCGGAGGCAGGTGAAGGGCCTGCCCAGCCCCGAGTCCCACCGGAACCATATGGTGGAGGTGGAGCTGACGGCTTACGTGCTGCTGGCCCATCTCTCCCTGCCCAACGAGTCCCTTCTCTCTCCACGCTCTGCCCGGCTAGTGTGCTGCCTCCTCCCCTGGTAAGCAGTGCCAGGCACAACACCCAGCCTCTGCCCCAGGGTGGGGAAGCTCTGCTCCTGGGGCACCAGGGGCTAAGAGGCACTGGGGGAACCCATCTGCAAGACCCCATGGAGGTGGGGGGTAGCCGGGCATCAGCTGCACCCCTGCCCTTCAGCAGCATCGTGCTCCCCTCCCGCACCGAGGCCTGGGGGACCCCGCACTCACGCAGGGGCTCTCTGCCAGTGACTGGAAGTGCCAGCGCTAAGCACAAGCCAGCTAAACAACAGCTTCGGACCCAGTGGCTCACAGCTCTGCCGTCTCTGGGAGTCACGGGACGCGCCCCTGCGGGCGCCCCCCAACACCCCTGGGGCTTCTCGCTGGCTCCCTTGAGCTCAGACTGAGGCTGTGTCTAGACTGCAAAGGAAAGTCGGAAAAAGACACAAATTGGGAACCGCAGTTTGCGGATCTTTTTCTGCCTTTTTTTCAGAAGAGGTGTTTTCGAAATTGCACCTGTCTCCATGGGGCCAAACGTTGGAAACCCTCCTCCTTCGGCCCATCCTCCTTCCTCACACAATGAGGCGTACAGGGATGCTGGGAGAACGCGGCCGCTTTTTCGGAGACCGCTCCTTGGGCGCGGAAGAGCTTTTCGGGGACACCTCTAAAATCCCGGAAAAGCTCGGCCGTGTGGACATGGCCTGAGCTGTGTTCCTGGGCTGCCCCGAGGGGCTGTTGCCCCTTGGGTGAGGGTCCCGCATTCAAGGATCTAGGGATCACTCGGTGGCGGGGTGTTAAACAGGCATCAGCTCTGCCCCATGTCGTTCAGCTGGGTCAGCCTCTAGAGAGGAGCCCAAACTAACATGGGGATCCCTGTCCCCCTCTGCTGCCTGCATGACAGAGACATTTCGGGATGACCTGCCGCCGTGATGTACCTGGGCTGGGCTTTTGGCTCAGCCAGCCGACGCTCCCGGCATCCCTGGAGCCAGGGATCAGACCCTACTGATGACCAGCCCAGTGGCCTGCTCTTACACCTGTGTAGCCGCCCAGTGCCCTGGGAACCAGCTGCTGTGTCCTGCCCCAGAGGTGGCTGCATTCGGTGGGGGGCAGGAATCCCTCTGGGCCCGGGTCCCTTTGCCAGGCAAACAGGTGACCCGCTGTGTTGTAACTGCAGCCGTGGGGCTGCCCTTCCCTCGGCCCCTCTCCTAGGGGGACAGCTCCACTGGCGGAGGAAGGTGAAGGCCCTGCCCAGCCCCGGACCCTACTGGGACCAGGCCCCCTCGGCGGAGGTGGAGCTGACGGCTTACGTGCTCCTGGCCCATCTCTCCCTGCCCAACGTGTCTGCTGCCGACTTGGCGACCGCCTCCCAGATCGTCCGCTGGCTCAGCAAGCAGCAGAACCCCTACGGGGGCTTTGCCTCCACACAGGTAACCGCCCTGCCCTTGGGCTAACACCCCCGGCATCAGGGGCTGGGAGCCTGGCCCTGGTGTCAGCACCTGGCAGGTCCCGATCCTGCTGCAGTGAGTCTGGGCAGGGCCCTCTCAGCCGCTCGGTGACTCCCCTGCCCCAGGACACGGTGGTGGCCCTGCAGGCCCTGGCCAGATACGCAGCCCTGACGTACAGCGCGAGCGGGACGGTGTCGGTGACCGTGAGCTCCCCGGCCAGGGCCCGGCAGCAATTCCACGTGGAGAACGCCAACCGGCTGGTGCTGCAGCGAGCGGCCCTGCAGGAGATCCCCGGGCAGTACACGGTGCAGGCCAGCGGCAGCGGCTGTGTCTTCGTGCAGGTGAGGGCAGGAGCCCCTGGGGCCCGGCGGTGAGTGGCTGTGCCCTGGGACTGCCCCACGGCTGGGCCCCACGGTGCCAGGCTCCGCCCCAACCCTCTCACTTTTCTCCCAGATGATTCTGCGCTACAACGTGCCGCCCCCCAAGAGCTCCGCCACCTTTGAGCTGCGGGTGGAGACGGAGCCGAAGGAGTGCAGCGAGGGCGCCGCATCCCGCTTCAGCCTGGCCCTGCACGCCCGGTACCAGCCCGGCCCCCCACCCGCTGGGTCCGACTCCGGGGCAAGGACAGGCCCAGGCAGCGGGGAAGGGGCTGGGCAGAGCTGTCTGTCACACTCACAGGGCACCCAGCGGTCCCAGGGGTAACCCCCTTCCGTGGGGATCCGCTCTCCCCTGGGGGCTGAGCCCCTCCCCCGTTCCCCCACCTCTCTGAGCTCCAGCCCGCCTGGCTCTGCCGTGGGCCCCTCAGGGGGTCCCCTCGCTCCGGGCCCCGGGGCCTGCACTCCCAGGGGACGGCGCAGCCCTGTTCTCTAGTCCGCAGTGACTTAGCCAGCGTGAAACAGGAGGTTTATTGAGCATTGAACCCAGCACAGGAACTCTCAGGCCTGTGGGCCTGGCCCCCTCCGCCAGCACGTCTGAGTCTGCCCTGCAGCCTGGGGGCCTCTGCCCCGTCCAGCAGCCCCCGTATTCCAGCCAAGCCGCCGAGATCCCTCCCCAGCAGCTCCCCGCGCCCTCCCGCCTGCCTTCTGTCCCTGTAACCAGGATCACCTGGGCCCCTCTCTGCTCCCCTCGCCCCTCCTCCGCTCCCCGACTGGAACCAGCCGGGCAGGTCACTGGGTCCTCTCTCTGCCGCCCATTGGCCTCCCGCTGGCCCCAACCGGCCGTGTGGCCCGAGCTGGGTCTGCAGGTCCCTGGTCACGGGACTCCACCCTCCAGCCACTGGCCAGGGTCCTGAATCCCCTCTCACCTCGTAACACCAATAACCCAGGGACACCGAGAGTTACTCCTCCTGGAGCAAACCCTTTGAACCCCAAATCCCCCCGAGCACACCGTCCTACTGCAGGGCTGGGGGGCTTGAAGTGCTGGGGGAGCTATTCACCCCCAGGGCTCGGAGCCCCTTGAAATCTTAGAATCAGAGGGTTGGGAGAGGCCTCAGGGGGTCGTTGAGTCCAGCCCCCTGCCCAAAGCAGGACCAATGCGCCAGGCAATGACGGGCAGGTCCTGGGGCTGATCTGGAGCAGTCGACTCCCACGCAGCTCCTGGAGCCGCTGCCACTTGCTCAGGCTGGCTGGGACACGGGGGGTTCACAGCTCAGAGGAGGCAGAGGGCCTGAGACGCCTGCAGGGCTGAGAAGATGTGAGGCCTCCCCTGCCCCTCCATCCCCCCTCCCCGGGCTCTGTACCCAGGGCTGCCCTGGCCTCAGCCCCGGCTCCTCTTGCAGGTACAGGGGGGAGCGCTCAGCCACCAACATGGTCATCGTCGAGGCCAAGCTGCCGTCCGGCTACGTCCCTGCCAAGAGCTCCCTGGGGCAGGTGAGACCAGACAGTGCCAGTCACACAGTCCGAATCCAGGGACTGGTCCATGGGGAGAGCCCAGCCCCCCAGGAGAACACAGATTGCAGCTCTGACCCCCACAGAGTTACCCCAACAGCGCCCTGCCCCCCGCAGCACAGCGCCCCCTAACATACAAAATACTCTGTCTCTTTAAGAGGGGGCGGGGCAATGCCACGTTCTCGCGGAACCCTTACTTTCGCTTTGCCGAACCCTGGGGTTCCACGGAGCACCAATTGGCAAACACTGCCTTAAACCCTTTCTGGGCCTCTGAGGGTTTCATCACAACATCTATCGCTCAGATGTGCAAATATAGAATGTTCATGGGTGTCTGATTCAGGCTCCTCTCTATTATATGCAGCAGTGTACACGGCACCCAAGTCTATCCATCCTTTTTCTGGAATGAAACACATTACACCTGTGATGCTAATACATCTTTTGTCGTTCGGTACTATTGGGCGGCTCAGGGCTCTGGGGCTGGTGCCAATGGGGAGGGCGTGTCCTGCGCGGGCGCCACCCACATAACTACTGCTCTGGTGGGCCTCGCCACCCTCAGTGTGGGGGGGCACTGAAATCTCCCCCGTCCCAAGGGCCCCAGTTGCATGAAGGACGGGGACCTGGGACCAGCCTCAGCCAGACCCCAGGGAGGGGCGTGAAGGGGGCTGTGGGGAACTCAGGGGTGGGGGAGCTGGGCCTGGCTGCTCCCGGGAAGGGGGTTAGCGCTGCCAGTGCAGACGCTCAGCCCAGGCGTTCGCTCTGTCGCCCTCTCGGTAGCTGACGAAGGAGGTGGCAAGTTTCACCTTCTCCCTGGAGCAGGATTTCCCTGTGAAGAATCTCAGAGCAGCCCCTGTGAGGCTGTACGATTACTACGAGCCGGGTGAGTCCTGCCAGGGCCCGCCCTGGACCCCCGCTCCCGTGGGCACCATGGCACAGTCAGTCTCCGGCATGGGCCCCACCCCTGTTACTGCTACTCTGGGGGGCTGTGCCACTCTCAGTGAGGGGTCACTGAACTCTCCCCCCTCCCAAGGGCCCAGGTCCATGAATCCCCCCCAGGTGCAACCTCCCCCCCAGGTGCAAAGGGCTGGCAGGGTGGTTATGTCAGCGCGTTGAGGGCGACTCATGGGGGGGCGGGGCTTGGGGAGAGCGCTCAGCCCCACTCAGACACCTGGGCGACCTTGCACACCCTCTGGGGCTCAGACCCACAGCAGGGCTCCCCTGGGCTGGGGCGACCGACTCTG